TGCAGCCAAAATTGTGAGAATTTCCAGGTATCTGCGCGTAGAAGTCAGTTTTTGAGGCAATTCAAATTGCTCAAATTTGACCATCTATGGCCATGCAAATAACTTAATATATCAAAAGCGTAAGTGTGCGCACCATTCGATCACCTTACACGCAATTTCAGATTGTTTTTATTTGGAGCATGGTTTTCGAAAACTTGACCAAAAAATCTGGCTTCTTTGCTTTCCTGCCTCATTTCGCAATGAAAACAATAATCTTTGAGCGAACAAATTCAAACATCCGATTCTTCTTGATTTACTTTCGAATGGTACATACATTCATACGAAAAATATTTGTGACATTTCTACAACCGTTGAAAACGGCCGAAATTAGTTTTTAGCCAGCCTAATACTTTTGTAATTTTTGCAACTTCTATGATTTGTGTGATTGGATCCCTGCAGTCACCTTATCCGTGGAGCGCAGAAATTTCTACCTCTACAGTGAAGTCTAACAATGAGTAGTACTCATTGATACACTAACAGTCTGTTCTACTTCAATGCCTTGTTTTCTGTGAGGAATGAAAATGCGCGAGATGGCAACTCCTTTTCTCGTCCGTGCCATTATCATTAATAAAGACAGGTTACCGCGCTCTACGGATAACAGTGATCATAAAACCACAGAAATCGCAAAGTTATAATTACGGAAATTAGAAACTGCGGATACTCTACAGGAAAAAACCGAGCCCTGAAACATCAAACTGGACTTCAGTTCAGTTAGAGAAAACATATCTCCACCATGTCAAACAAATAGAACTGTTCTCTGACAACATATTATCACTCATAAAATCACTAAGACTGTTTGCACTTTTGCACTGTGAGTGGGTCTCTATTGAGTGCCACGCGGGACTTTTGTGCACAGCGTGTACCTCAAACTTGGGTAATTAAACCTTTATTGAAATACTACTAATAATCGATATAAGCGACTACGAATTATAAATATATATTACTAGCGCGAGCAAGTCAACTATCTGTGAGTGCTGTGGCACTGTATTCTGTGACCCTGTGATTGTCCTGTGCGTTTTGAAGGAATGAACTAAAGAAGCTGAAGCAACTAATGGCTAGCACGGTGACAAGCATATATATGCGATAAAACATAAACTTCTAAGAGCCTACTGATAAGCTAACTGATAACAAATGCATAAACATAGGCCATGAGAACCACAGCTGATCCGCCGCGCAGAGAACGTGTGTTCTTTATGCGGCAATACGAATACGGAGAATTCGTATAAAGACAATTTCTAATCATGGGCTTTCCTTCATTTTGTGAGGAATATGAGCATGCTTGTTCCGACCAATCATCGTGATTAAAATAAACAAGAAACACTTTATCAATAGTTCGTTAGCCTTAATAGCTTCGTACAAATTTTCTTCACATCAAATCATTGATTGCTCCGATTTTGCTTTGCCCTTGCATAGGCTCATTGTATATAAAATCAACATTGTTCATGATGATGATACAATGTGTCGAAAGAAGAGCGAGGCTTATTCACCCATCAATTGAGAATTTCACATGCTTCTAATGCCCTAGCAATCTTCAAAGGCTTAGAATAGTCTTGCACTTGTAGCTGTGGTTACAGGCGATCGTAACAAAGTCTGCATTGGTTCGCGATCCCGACTACATAGTCTGATTTATTTGATTAAATGGTGTGATTGTCTGACTATCCCATTTACACTCAAAGAGGAGAAAACAAAAAGAATTTCGTGTAAGTAAAGTTGAGTGCACGAGTCGTGAACTTGCGCGCATTCTGTGCAATGCACACAACAGGCCACAAATGACTGAACCATAGGTTGTCGGCAGCAATTGCGAGCCATGATAAGCAAATGGCAAAGGGGCAAGAGGAACTGAGCGCTGTAATTTCCAGCTAAATATGTGAGCTTGCACACCGCAGGCCGCAACTGACGACACTCCTGGAAACTCTTTAGTGTAAACATTTTTATCCAACACAGCGTAGAAATGTGTACTAACACCTGGTGCATATAAAATTAAAGTAAAAGAGAGAAGAAAAAACTAAAATTTTTGTAAATCAGCAGGTCTTGACCTTATAAACCGTGAGGTAGCGCGCATGATGTGCAATACACACCCTACGTTACAAAAGACTCGACAATACATCAACCAACAATCTGAAGTCGCTTGGTTGAACAAACCCTTTTGTTTGCAAAGCCGCGCTGACTTGTTTGGATGAAACTGATTGAAAATGAAACATATCATCTACATTTCTAATTCTCTGAATTTAGATCTACGACCTGGCGTTCTGCCGACGAGGCAGCTTGCTGATCTGCCTGCAACGAATGGCGAACGGAGAGTTCTTCATCTGCGAGGGCACGATCGACTGCACGGCTCGTGTCGTGGACGTTACCGGGCCGGTGCACCGAACGAACATCGTCGCGGCGTGAGTTATTCGCACTCTCAATCGCATCTTCTGCACTCGATGAGCCGTTGACCTTTTAGGAAGGGCAAAAGTGTGGTGCTGATTCGAGATGAGGCCGGCGTCGTGCTGCTTTCGCATCCGATTCGCTGGCAGTCCGCGGGCAATGTCATCGAATTGTTCCATGTGTCGAACTTTCTCGCTAATTCCGTCGGCGACAAGTACACCATAACGCTGCAGAGCAGGGAATTTTTTGATGGTAAAAACATTGTCGTATTATGGCGTCAAACATTTGTATAGTTGATGTGATGATGAAGTCCCACAGATTAATGAAGAAAAATATAGAATCGTCACAATATTTCCATACTGACTGTTTCCCGCTTTTTTT